AATCAGTCATGTATTGCTAGAGTCGTGTCATTTACTCCGAGACATGATAATAGTTGGAAAATAGGCGACAAGAGTTAATCGAGATAAATGCGAGAAGTAAAGCCTCATCTTAAGTGAGTGATCGCGTCGGCAATCTTGACTTGTGTTGTGAGAACGTTATGTGGTCTTGAAACTGGTGTGTAAACTCTTAGTGTGTCCTCCATGTCAAGGCAAGGCAAGGTTAGGTGTATTGTCTTTCAACAGTGGAAATGGCTGCTCTTTCCGCTGCAAGCAGGTTAGATAAACTATTTCTTGTCATTCTGGTTACTAGCGATGTATTGTTTGCTAATAATTTATGTATTTATGATTTATTCAGCTTCACGCACATGAGTCTGGAGGCACTGTTGTCCCATGATCATGAATTGTATCTTGATCGCATTCTAGAAGAGGTGGTGGGGGCCAACTGCATGCCTGACAGTTGCCCTCTGATGCAATCAAGAGAGTGTGATTTGGCATTGAATGTTCTGCAAATTGTGGTCAGTGGGCAGAGCCAACCTCAGAAGGAAGCCCTCTTTTTCTGTACTCGGTCATCATGGTCTTTACTTCGTGCATTGGTGCAAATGCTGTCCTTCGAAGGATTCATAGTGTTTGGTGTGTGTCATACCCGTTTGGAACCAAATGGATTTGCATCTGTTACGCTAATGCATTCGCCATCCCATGCCATTAATAATGTAGGATGCCTTTGTCATACGAATGGTTCGATATGGTGAGTGTTTCAGTTTGTGTTAAGAATTTTCTGACATACAAGGGGAATGGGTTTCTCACCATTTGTATCCTGCCTTGTCATATACTGCAGGTTTCTACTACCCTTCAAACATATCAGTCCATTTCAACGGCTTGTTGCCAGGAAATTTAATTTTAACGTGACTGAGATGATGTGCAATTATTTTAAAGTGCAGGATAGTGCATTGATTCCAGACTCGAAACTGGTGAGTGCAGCCAATAAGCGTAGTGTTACTGTGATGGCCCCCTATCTTGTAGCTACGCGGAGCAGGCGGAACAAAGAGGCTCAGAAATGCAAGTCGCTTGA